CCAACATTGCTTATTTTATAGTGATAAAATATCACTTATTTTATTTATTTTATACCATTCTCTTGGAGGGCATGGCATAGGTGTCTGTTTCTGGCTGAGTACACAATATAACTCATTCTCAATCCACTCCAGGAGCATCTCCACTAAAGAATAAGATGAGTGCTAATCTGTGGGTATAAATAAACATCTTTAGAAGGCAACTTGACAACATGCTCACTTAGTAAAACAGCAGTAGTAGTTCCCCCTTAAGGCCTGTAGACTCTCCATCAGTAGGGTTTTGTCTTAAATTACATTATTACACTTGTATTTCTATTGAGCAAACATTAAATCCAAACAGAAAGTAGTTGTTACCCTTAAAACAGCATGCCACTACTGTACCAGTAGATATATTTTGCCTGGCATGTCCTTGGTCTTGTAGCATGGAAAGTCCACTGTTGGAAGAGGATTGTTGAGTGTTCTGTAATAGTAGCTTACACAGCATATTCATGTATTATATAGGAGAGCCAACTGGGGGAATGCTTCCCAATCAGTTACAACAGGTTATTGACAAACATGACACTAGTGTGCCTTAGATCTTGTCACATTTAAGCACTTATCACTGTTCATTTCTCCTCTCATGCATCTTTGGTAATTAGCTTTCTTGTTTAACCTTAGAGTAGGGAAGATAATTCCGTATCAGACTATGGCTCAGACCAGATGGCATCAGACTGTGGAGCTCTGACTCAGTTTGTCCTTTCTAATTAGAGGGAAATTACTGGAAACCAACTATCATCCGATAATCCTTTGACACTTGCCCTGGACTTCCAGTATGGGCCATTGTCACTAGGTAGGATCTTTGTCACTAGAATACCCTGACTGCTGACTCAGCAGGAATCATTGTAAAAGGGTTCTTGCTATGCCTTGGTCAAATACTTCAAGCATGGGAGTGGTTTCCCAGCACTTACATGTTATTCAGAAAGCAGGACTCCTGTCTGCTTCAGTCTGTTCAGTGATGAGTCCACTGTTAATTGTGTTTTTTTCTGAGTCTTTTGTCTTTGGTCTCCAGACACTGATATATGCATGTTTTGTTTGTTTATTTCTTGTGGGGCCTCTCTCCATCTGAGTTCTGCTCTCCAAATTCTCTGCTACTAGAAGTGTGGTGCTTATTTCATGAACTGAGCCCTCTGGAGCAGACTCATTCTGTTCTGCTTTCTAGTATTTGTTTTCTTTCCTGGCTACTGGGCCATAGTACCTCTGTCCAATTCTCCAGGTCTATTTCCCTAGATCAAGCAGCTGTTGCTCCTGTATCCTCTGGTTCCTATCTCCTTGCATGGTCTCTAGAGTACATCTGACCACTGAGCACTCTAGTTGAATGTTTCACAAAGCATATGAGACCTTTAAATGTGCAGATTTCAGTGCTCATTTTGAATTCCTTGGCTTTATGAATTCACTACTTTCTGTCACTGTTTCTTCTTCTTTGGGGACTGCTATCATGGATTTCTTCTTGCCATGTCCTCAATCATGGAATTTTACTCATTATCCAAAGCTCCTCATTGCTGTTTCTTTAGATGTATTTTTTTAGCTATCTGCCATTGCCTTACATGTGTTCCATGCAGAACTAAGCTCTTTGTATGTTTTTTTTCAATTTTACCATCATAAAAGTTATATTTTTGCTCTTTCTTTCCAAGTTCTTGCAGCTCACATTTTTTTCCTTCTGTGATCTTGTTGCCATATCACAGAGAGTTTTAATAACTCTCTGTCCAGTGGTTACCTTACTAAATATTTAAAAATAAATGAATCTGCCTGCCATTTTGACCTGTTCCACAGTGATATATATATATTTTTTAAATGCATTCTTTGTTGTTCCCAATGTCTCTTTGATTCTTGGGTGGATGTTGTGTTCTATTTCTGTTGCCTTGATTGGTACTTAACTAGAAAATAAACTTGGGAATTCCTGAGTGGACATCTGAAGGACATTCTTCCTGTTGCTATGAGGAACAGATGACATTAGCTGTCACATGACTGAAACACTTCCTTTTAGTTTGAAGTTTTGTAGACCCCTAACCCAGCTCTTTCTAGTCTGTTTCCTTGAAGTAGGTCCTAGATGTTCCTTGGCTAATGCTATCCACTTAATGTTCAGCTTGATACCCACTTACCATGTAGTGGTGTACTTATTTTCCCTTGAGAGTATATTCTTGAAGATGTACATACAATCTTCAAAAGACAGGCTTTGCTATTGAAATCTCTCTTATCTACTTAGTATGGCTGAGTTGTATGTGAATGCCACTGTGTTTAGCATAATACTGGAATGTTCCTTTCAAGCCATTAACAAAATTCAAATGTACATTTTTCTCCCCCTCTTGTCAGTTTTTGGATTAATTCCCAGGAATGGATAAAATGTCTTACAATCTCCACTTTAAAAATCCTATCCTTCTCTCTTAAATAGCTTTGGTCAGCCCCTGGAATTGGTATTTCATATATTGTAGATGCAAAGAGAGTTACTCTAAGAGCTTAGGCTGCTGTGATACTGAGTCTTTCTTGGATTCTTTGTAACAAAAATGTTTCATATGATGCAGAACGTGGAATCCTGACCCATATGACTTTATGGGGTTAGCTGAGTATACTTGGTTAATACTTGGCCTCAGTTCTCATGAGGGCAGAGTTCAGATGACATCACCTTCAGTGCCTCAGGCAAACATGAGGTTTATGAGCAAGGAACCATTTTCAACCCCTTCCCCATCAAATAGATTCAGAGTTGGTTACTTCTAGTTTTGAAAGCAACTTCTTTGTGCAAGATTGTGTTATTCCTGGAGAACAGATAATAGTTGTTGACTACATAGGTATACATAGATATACATAGATATACATAGATATACATAGGTATACATAGGTATACATAGGTATACATAGGTATGCATAGGTAAATGGCAAATGTCTCTTTACCTGTTCCAAATGCTTCAAAGATAATAACTACTACCTTCACCAAGAAGATCATGAAACAGGAATCTGAAGTCCTCTGTTCTCTGCAGCCAAATGCTGTGTCATTGCATGTGCCCTAACTGTTGCCACACAGTACACACTTGCTGCTCAGCATTCAGATCACTGAATCTAATATAACAATGTCACATGCCTCATGATGTCAGCAGCTTAGAGAAGTTGTTTTATGTAGCCACGTGAATAGAAACAGAGATGAATTTCATTTCTTTTATGTTCATTTGAACATTTTTTTTTTTAACAAGAATGTGACTTGTCAAGAGCAAAGGCCCTGTCCCTTATGGCCACATTTTTCTGTGTGAAGAATGAAGACTCTTTTGGCTTGCACATGACTAGTGCTGAGCAAGCTCCACAAGAAGTCCAGGACTTTGAAGAAGAAGCCTGGGTCAGGTTTAGGAGGGCGACACGGCAGAAGCCTGGCAGACTTTTATGCTGAAGGTCAACATCTTTTTTGTTTTTATTTTTTGTTTGTTTGTTCTGTTTTTTTCTTTTGAGACAGGGTTTTTCTGTATAGCCTTGGCTGTCCTGGAACTCACTGTAGACCAGGGTGGTCTTGAACTTGCAGAGATCTGCCTCTGCCTCTTGAGTGCTGGGAATAAAATGTGTGACACCACCACCTGACCAACATCAACATCTTCAGTGGTCCCTTTGCCTCATGTCTAGATAGTTTTAAATCTGCGGTGGTCTTCTACTCTCTCTCCAGAGGCCTTTCTACCTATGCTCCATCCTCTGTGTTTCAATGTGTTCTTTCTGTCTCCTCTTTTGATCTTAAAACTTTTTGATGTATTCTTCGCTTTGTTAACTAAGCTTCAGAATGGACTGTGATGTGTAAACTTCCATGTAGCATCTGGCCAGGCTGGGGCTCTGACAGCATCTCCTGAGTCACGAGCACCTTGCCAGTCCTCATCACTGTCCCTTGCACTTTTGTTTTTTTTATGTCTTCTTGAATTTCCCCTGTGACTCATGTCTATCCTTTCTATGCTCTTTGCTCAAGTATTTCTCCATTGATGCCTCACCTTAACCCTGTCTGAATGATGTCCTTTCTCAAAACTGCAGCTTCCTCTTCCACTGATCACTACTACCTGACCTCATGGGCAGACTTCTACTTAGTGCCTATTTTATCTCTCTTTGTCCCCTAGGATGGTGTCTTTAATAGCAGGGAGTTTAAGTGCCGCATATGAAATGATACTGCTTGTGTGTTAATCGAGTCTTTGTTCGAATATGATTACATTGCTTGTTTAGAGCTCACCTAGGGGGAGGAAATAGATGGCCTAGCAGTCACCCAATGGTGCAAATGGAAATGCCCATATAAAAGGACAGGTAAAGGAGAAGTTGTTAGTTAAGGTATCTAAAAAGTGATCTGGCAGTGGTGGAGTTGTTCTGGAAGCTGAAACAAGAGATTAGAGGAGTGACCACTATTTTAAGCAAAGATGAGATGTCACAAAGGGAGAAAACTTACCTATTTTTGTTGGATTTGGTACAGAACTGTCATCAGTGTCCCCAATGTGCTTTACAAATGGAGTCCAGTTAAAGAAGATGGGAAAGTACAGGTTGAGGAAATAGAGTGAGAAACATTAATTTGGCAATTTTAAACATATTTTTAAAATAGATTATCTATAATCAATTGTTAGCACTCATTAAAGATGCATAATAGCCCCAATTAAATGGGAAGAATTATAATCATGAGTCAATGGCCTATTTTATATCTCTGACATACTCTGTTTACATCAAGTGTCAGATCATGCAATGGCTACCTGAGGCACCTTGAGTCCCATGCCTTTGGCATGATACCCTTTGTGTATCTGCACATTTGTAAACCAGGACACTAATTACAGCTGCAGTGTCTTAGTTACAAGCCTTTTGAGGTACTGCTTCTGAGGGTGACTTGTAACTTGTGAAATAAACTTGACCAAAACCGGATAGATCCATAAACCTTATTGTATTCATGATCCTGAGTCAACTCACCTGGGTTGCCCCATGACCTTACTTGACCTTGGATACTGATTGAATTTATTATAACCTGACAGGTTCCTGAACAATGTCGGCTTCTTTTTTCCACTGATTATGATGTTGACTTGGATGGTGTCTGTGGCCAGCATGGTCCGGAAGCTGGTTTATGAGCGAGAGATCCATATTGAAGAGGTAAATGGCTTTGATATTGTCTGTGGGAGCACAGGAGAGGATTTGGAGAGTGGCCCTCCAAGTAGATCACCTGCTCTCTCTCTCTCTTTGTTCTTCCTTCCCTTTGTGAAACTCCTTCCTAGGCTTTAGCTGAGTCTCCCTCCTAAGAATATTGTTTTCTATTGGAGTTGGAAAGGTTGTCAAAAGGTGATAGATATTTCTTATAGAGACAAACTGAATGAGATTAAAGACACTTGCTCATTGATGATTTTTCTAAATCATCACTTTCCACTCTGATTTCTAGTTTTAATTCTATACAAAGAATTCTAATATTTTTTTGTCTCAGTATTATTAAAACTTGAAAACTTCAGATAACTGCTTTCAATAATGAGAGTTTGTAAGAGCATCTGGTGAAGGTGTTCTTCACTGAAGAGTGAAGGCAGGTGTCAATGGGATGCATGGTTTGATTACTGAACAGTTACTAAGATGTAGGGACTACGTGATCAGTGGTATAGGGACTACTGTACACATCACTTACTTGTTTACAACAATCTACTCAAGTGTGGCTCTATTACTCCCCTACATGGGTTTGATACCTGGGCACAGGGGCCTGGAGACAGAGGTGCCAATTGCTGGGTTCTCTAATGTACCCCCTAAGTAGCTAGCAAAAGACCATACCTCAGAGGTCCTTAACTTCCTTTTACATGAAGCCAGGCCCATTTCCCAAACTATCACCATGTGGTATATGAACAAATGGCAGGTTAGTGGAGAAATGAATCTAATTAATTTCACCAAGATAATTTTGTAAACTGCATTCTGTAGCCATGTAAAGGCCACCTCAGTCATAGGGTTTGCTTTAGTATTTTCCTCCTTCATCATTCTTTGCCATTACTGAACAGAGCCTGCTCAAATAACTGGATAACAAATGCTAAGACTATAAAAACAATTCTACACAAACAGAAAACATAACATAACTGTGGTCAACCAAGCCTATGATCTCAAACATCTGTTCATACCTCTCTCCTCCATGATTGTTACAGGTAACACTATTTCCTGACTAGCTTCGGGTTTCTCTCCAAGAACATAGAGAATGGCTGTGATGTCAGCTCTTTGAGAGAACTACAGTAGAAGGAAGCGACTTTCTTACTGCCTTTCCCAGGGTTGGGTTGGCAAACCAAATGGTTCACTTTTCCACTGGTATTCCCCTTGCTTGTCACCTTATCTCTTTTTTCTTGAGTGTCCACTACAGTGATAACCCAGGCTCCTTCTTTTCACAGTACATGCAGATGATGGGGCTGCATCCAGCCATTCACTTCCTGTCCTGGTTCCTGGAGAACATGGCCGTTCTAACTCTGAGCAGTGCTGCTTTTGCTGTCATTCTGAAGATGAGTGGCATCTTCACACACAGTGATGCCTTCATCATTTTCCTTTACTTGCTGGATTTTGGAGTGTCAGCTGTCATGCTGAGCTACTTTCTAAGTGTGTTTTTCAAGCAAGCTAATACAGCAGCCCTGTGTACCACTCTGGGGTACATGATTAGCTTCCTGCCCTACGTGGTCTTGTTGGTCCTACATAACCAACTCAGTTTCGCTCTTCAGACTCTGCTGGTGAGTGGCTGCTCTGTAAAAATGCAAAGTAAGGCCAATAGGTGCCCTCTAAGCATGGCATATGCCTAGCTTGCCAGTCTGTCTTGTTCTGACTTATATGGAGCATCTGAGGTCTCTACTTGGTATTCTGCCCACAGATGCAGAACTACAGTGGTGGTTCATTGACTTGCAGTGATATAGTGGCAGGCCATTAAGAATTGTCAGTTTTCTGTAATGGGATCTCTCTGAGGATTCTGGGAAGTCAGCATCCTCCTCAAGAAAACATATAACTTTGGGTTCTCTTTGTTTCATGCATGGGAAGAAATAGATTTCTGAAGCTATTTTAGAAGTTAAAAATAAGCATTTTTTTCTTGAAGCATCATGAGTTACCTCACATTAAGTGGAAAGATCTCTCCGTTAGCAGTGTCAGAATCACTCATCCATTGGAAATGTATGCTCTGAAAAAGACTGAGGCTGCTTTCAAGTCTGCAGTGTAAAATAAATGCAGAAGACAGCAACAGATTCTTTCTTGACTGTTGTCTAGCAGGCTCTGTGCCTGACACATAGTAGGAAATCAGTTTGTGTAGAGAGGGTAAATGTATCAATATCAGTTCAGGTTTTTCATGGAGCATTAGTTGTATCTACCAGTTTGCACCCCTTTTTCCAATGGGCCAGCCCATATCCTGAAAATAACAGTCTGTTTGGAGGCATGACAAGAATCACTTTGAGAGGAGCTTAGGGACATTTTGAGTTCCTGGATTGTTAAGAAGTGTTCAGAAACCTACAATTGGTTAAAGTGTAGGAAACAGTAGACCATATGGTACCCTGTCCCTTGTAGAGACATCTACAAGGCAACATCTAAGGTTTTGGAAACACTGGGCAAGAGGGGGTGGGAAGATTATAAGAAGCAGAGGATCAGGCAGTCTGTTCTGAGATGGTGCCCTGTATGGCAGGGAAGCTGTACCTTGAAGTCTCAACAAGATGGTCACCTAAACAAGACATGAAAAATGATACTTGAAATTGACATGAGAAGGTAGTTGAAGAAAATCACACAAGGCTCCACCCTTAGCCACCCTTAGGTGAAGAGTGACAAGCTGTTAATGCCTGCTGGCAGAGGGAGAGAAGTTGTCTCTAGTAGGTAATCTGGTCCCGAATAGTCAGCTCTAAACATATACATATGAGCAACACTAAATAGACTCAATAAGCTGTATCTATGTATATTTGTGAACATGTGTGTGCACACTCGTGTACGCATGCATGCAATAACACTTGAATAAGAGTTCATGAATTTTAGAGGGACTTGGGACTTGGTGGGACACAGGAAGAATTGAAGGGGGAGGGGTTGGGGGAAATTAAGTAGATACAATAGTCATATGAAATTCTCAAAAAATACCAGAAAGGCTTTATAAAAATTCTCTTTTCATCATGGAATTCTTGAATGATGAGTGTGTCACTTATTCCCCAGTTAGAGAATACCTTCTGTGCTTATCTAGAGCCTCAGAGCAAATGCATGCATGACAGCCCAATTAATTTCTCCAACTTCAATTAAGTAACAATTCAGTATTGTGTTTGTTGCCTTTCTTCTGGCACTGGAAATTGAATCTAGTCCCTGAAACATAATTGACGAATGCTCTACTATTTTTTTAATCTTTTTTTCTTTTGAGAAAGTTCTCTAAAGTTACTCCAGCTGGCCTTGAACTTGCTCTGTATCCCATATAGGGTTTGAAGTTGCAACTTTCTTGCATCAGCTCCCAAGTAGCAGGGATTATAGGCAGGCTACTCTGTTTTGTTTTTTGTTTTTTGTTTTTTTGCCAAATATACTTAATACAGATATGCATACATAGGATAAATTGTTGTATTCAATTTGTATCTGTTCCCCTGATATGTTTTCACCATCTTGATTACCTTATATCCCAGCTGCAGCAACTTAGAAGCAATAACTTTATATTAGAATTAATCAGGTATTCCTAGAAAAATTAATACAAATGAGACCCTTGCTGTCTCCTGCTCATAAACTCCTTAAAGTTATGAACATATGCAGAAGTGAAGAGCCAAGTGAACATTCAAATGCTCTCACTTGTGCTTGTATTTCAGCCCTTAAGTCTCAGGCATCTATCCATGCAACATTTATTTTGCACATGTAAATGCTTTCTGGCTAGTGATGACTTCTAACTCGGGCACATTGTATTTTAAATGTATGATGCTTTTTCAATGAGTTTCCTTTTTTGACATCAGTCCTCTTCTACTAAACATAAACTAACAGCTTCCTTTAATACACTTCCTTTCTAGTGTAGAAGTGTGTAGACATTGCATCAGTCTGCTCACAGAGTGCTCCAAGGCATACATTCAATAGTAAGAAATAGTAAATTGTTCTGTTCCGTTTCCCACTGTTTTGTGTTACATGTTTCTGTATTCAGTGCATTGACTTTATGACACCTTGAGTGCTGCAGTGAACAGAAATGATTCATTTGAACGTTAAAAACAAGCCGGTGAGCATGGTTTTCAGAGTGGTCCGACACTCGGCTAATCCGTTCTGCCTCAGATATTTAAGTCATTGCCTGAAGCAATGGTATCCTTAGAACCTTTGAATTAGGAAGTGTCTTCTTAGAATTTGGTGTTGTGGGTTTTCAGTGATCACAATCAAACATTAATGGCTGTTTTCTCCTCCCTCCATCGACTGTGGCAGTGCTTGCTTTCAACTACTGCCTTTGGACAAGGAGTCTTTTTCATCACATTTCTGGAAGGACAGGAGGAAGGTAAGAGGATGACCTCTTCAGAAAGTAGCTTTCTGTCATTCAGAGTTGGAAACCTGTAGCTATCAAGCAACTAAACCAGGAGTTAATCTTGTTACCAAGGGATACATTTGGAAGGAGATCCTAGCATTTGGTTTTGCTGATGGAAATCTTCCTCTTACCTAGTTATTATGGTTCTGAGAAGAGTCAAGAATAATCACATATCAGCATCTCTTGCTTCAGATACCACCCAAATGTAGTGGTAGATCCAGGCTAGTGCATGGGTCTTGCTATGGTACACATTCAATCTACTAACCTTCCAGATTCTTGCAATAATGTGGTATGCATATGCCTTCCATCTGCTAGACTGTGGTTGAACTAAGACAAGTCTATTTGGAGATGTTACGATCTCTCCTACTCCCACCTTCATTGTTCCAGGGTCTTATGTCTAATTAGCAAAGAAGAGGTCATGACTATTACTTCCCCTTTCTATACATATTTATGCCTATGTACAGCTTAAATACTTTTTATTTTGTAATAAGTTCTCTAGCTGAGGTTGGATTTGAACTCTCTGTGTAGCTGAGCATGACCTTGAATACTGGATACTCTTGTCAGAATCTCCCAAGTTCTAGGATTACAGGCATATGCCACCATATTTGGTTTATACAGTGCAGAGGACTGAATCTACTGTCCAATGTATGCCAGACAAGCGAATTTCCCAACTGGGTTACATCTCCTGCCCCTTAAAATAATTTAAGGATGTATTGGATTGACAACACCTTTTACTTATGTTGAGATTTTTATCATAAATTGTTAAGTAAGAACATATGTGTTTTAGATGTTCATATTGTTCTGGGATGTGTTTTGGAATTAAAGCAAAATATAAGCCATAGGTAAAACTTAACACTGGATGTTATTTCCATAGCCAGGTACTTTGTGCTGATTTATCCAACTTGTCCAATAAAGTATGTTAAAATACCCTTTAGTCTTAAATATTTTCCCCTCCATTTTCTTCCAACTGATCTTCAAAGTAAAAACTGGACCAAGAAGATATAGAAGAAAATAGATTAAATTAAACACAGTTAAATTAATTGATTTTTTTGATTCAAATGATAACAAGTATACTGTGGTTAAAAATTTTTAAAGCTGGGTCTAACTTAGTGCCACAGCCAATAGAAAGAGGAATAATGTTTTCAACTTATATTATAATCTAGAAATAAATCACAAAAATAAGAAATAATGATTCTTTTCCTCCATAGACCTTTATATATTATTTAATACATTTTCCAAAAGCAGAGTATTATACTATTTAAAGTTTTATTAAACAATTCTTTTGTTTATAAATATAAAATTGTTCTTTAGTTGAATCAATAAAACTAGGTACTAATGGCTTTCAGAGAGTTTTGGAAAGTCGGAGATTGACATGATGCTAATGGTTGCTCATGGGTTTCTCTGAAGCCAAGGTGAGACTATACAAGCTAATGATGGCCTTGAAGCTGAGCATTGCTAGTATCATCTTGCTTTTTGTTTTACATGAGACTCTTCTAGAATTAGTCAACTCCCTCATCAAACCTACAGTAAAAGAATAAGCCCAAGTAACTCTATCCTTTTTCTTCTGGCAGGGATCCAGTGGGGTAACATGTACCAAGCTCCAGAGCCAGGGGGCATGACATTTGGCTGGGTCTGCTGGATGATTCTGTTTGATTCGATCATTTATTTTTTGGGTGGATGGTATTTCAGCAACTTGGTCCCTGGTAAGAAGTCTTCATTTTCATAAGACAACAAAAACAAACTGGAACCCATCAGCAGCTCTCAACAGGCTGTAGGTCTGTAGACCACATAGCACAACCCTATTTTCTAAGAACAAGTGTATGAAAGAGGTGGGCATGAGGAGGGTCATGGGGTCATGACAAAAGAGTTCAGGGCCTCTTTAGGAAGGTCGGAGAGTAAATGATGGGATTGTGGAAAGTATGTGGCAAGAACTCATCTGGGGCAGTCAATCAGGATGTAGATTTGTAGATTCCTGAGGAAGCCAGACAGGGAAGTAGATGTTAGAATAGTGTGCTAGAAGGGATTGCACTTAGGAGTCACTTCCTGATTCAAGCTATTTTTTTTAATATAGCCAGCACAACCTGGAGGCAGGCTGCGGGTGACACGCATTATAGGGAGTGAGGGCCAAGATAGGAGTAATTAATTTAATTTTTCTACTGATTCAACAAAAACAAGAGACATACAGTTACCATTTTGGTTCAGGCTAAAAACCAGAAAAATTACAGCGTAATTTTGAAAATCATTTCTTTAGAACTAACATATGGATGGTATTATATTTTATTGTTGAATTTGCTTGTGACTCTGACTCTATATATTCTAGAAGGATTGATCTCTAAAAATTTTAAACTATAAATAGAGATTCCAAACATGCAAATGGAGGGATAGGTGGAAAAATAAATCATACTTTTACTTGTAAAACCCCATTTAAGAGTTGGGAAACTCATGGAATTCTTAAAGACTAGCATGCATCAAAGTCATAGGTCATTGAAAAGACATTTTCATAGATATGAAAATGGGGCCTCAATAATAGACAGGCAGTATAAACTCACCGGGTAATTTATTTTGGAAAAACTAGGATTGCATGAAATTAGAAAGTAATAAAATGAACCTAGAAGGCCAAAATTGGCAAGAAGCTGGATAAGAAGCAGTCAGTCAGTGATGAGGCCGAGGAATATAATAATGATCCTTATGATAGAGTGTCATGTTCCTTTCCAGAGTGGGAATGCAGTCATAAGCATAGAGAAAGGAGTAGAGAGGCTGGAGAGATGGCTTTGTGGTTAAGAGTACTTGGTGCTACTGCAGAAGATATGAATTCAGTCCCTCACACTTATGCCAGGCAGGCTATAACCACCTGTGACTCTCGACCCAGGGGACTTGACACCCTCTTCTTTGTCCTCTTTGGTCACTTACATTCATGTGCACATGTTCATGCAGACACATGCACACATACACACACTTCAAAATAAATCCTAAAATATATAAATTATTTTTGTAAAAGAAACAAGTCAAGCTAGACATGGTGACAAACCAAAGTAATACCAACATTCAGGATGCAGAGGTAGTGGATCAGGAGTTCAAGGCCAACCTGACCTACACAGTGATATCCTCTTTTTTATTAAAACAAAACAAAACAAAACAACCAACCAACCAAAAAAAGAGTACCTAAAACAGAAAGAGGAATCAACAAAAATAAAGATGAAAAGGTGAATGAATTTTGAGGGTCTGTTGGTACAGGACCCTAATCTTTAGAGGAGCCAATATTAGCTGGAACTGAAGGCAATCAAGATGAGTACCCAGAAGTCAAGCTGGATGTGGCCAGCAAGTGATCATCAGACAACATGCAAAATTCTGAAGAAGAAACTTGTGTTTAGATAGAGAATGGCTGATGTCTTGAACTCCAAGGGCAAAGAAAAGAGGCCTACAATCACCTAGTCCAGTAACATCAGTCTGAGGTGAGATAAACAGTGTTCAAGGACCAAGAATGTTCTGACTTCTTTCCCTCTGTCAAAACATAATGTATAAGAATCCTGATGTCTTCATTAAGGGTTTTATTGCTGTGATAAGAATATAACCAAGAACAACTTAGGGAGGAAAACGTTTACTTCAGTTTACACTTCTACATTACAGTCTACCCTTGAGGGAAGAACTCAAACAGAGTGGGAACCTGGAGACAGGAGCTGACTTATAGGCCAAGAAAGGAATGCTGCTTACTGGTTTTTCCTCAAGGCTTATTCAGTACCCAGGGCCAACAGCCTAGAGGTGGCATTACCCACTAAGGGCAGGGCTCTTCTGCATCAATCATTAATTAAGAAAATGCCACACAGGCCTGATTATAGGCCAGTCTTAATGGATGAATTTCCTCAACTGTGGCCCCCTCTTCTCAGATGTCTAGATTTGAGTCAAGTTAACAAAACCTAATCAGAAAAGTTGTCTTTTGTCAACTTGACACATAAACATTATTAAATAAACTCATTAAGCTGTATAACATATTAAGCTACTTTCCTTTCCTTTCTTTCATCCCCAGGGTCTCATACTAATATCAATATTATAATATAAAACATCCCAACTTTTAAAAGTTCCATAGTCTTTAAAAATTCAAATGCTTTAAAAGTTCAGTTTTTCAAATATCCAAAGTCTCTTTAAGAGATAAACGTCTCTCTAAAATTATAAAGTCCCTCAACTGTGAGCTCCTGGAAAAGCAAAAGTAAGTTACATGCTTTCTTAATGCAAGAAGATAGACCTAAAGCAATGACACAATCTAATCGAAGCAAAATCAGACTCTAGTCGTATAAAGCATTCAGTTTTTGGTGCTTGGTTCCCACCCAGAATGCTCTGCGCTTCAAAGGGCTATGGAAGCAGCATTTCTCTGACTCTGCCATCCATAGCATGTACAGCTTGCTTCACAGGCTCAGGCTGGCTCTACTCTATAGTTGCTGCTGTTCTTAGCACCATCCTATGATACTAGGATATCCAAAATGCTGGGATGTCCACTGTGCCTGCTCTGTATGTTCTACAATAGTCTTTTTTAGACTCTTTTCAGTCTCTCTAGTGCCCAAGTCTCTAGTGCCCAAGTCTCAGTCTCTCAACAAACCCTAAATTCTAGTATTTTCACTGTCACTAATGCCCCATCATCACCAGTGGTCTCTCCTGTCCTCTTATACTGCCAAGCCTCAGATGCTGTCTATGACACCCTCATTCCTTCAGAACTAATACCACTTGGAAGGCTCAAATGACAAAGTTTGGCTGGTGCCAACAGGTACAACCATGGTAACCACTGGATTATCAATTCTGTGTCCTGATGGAGGGAATATTTCCAGATTTAAAATTCTCAATGATACTGATTGCTTCTTCTTATTCTTTTTTTCCTTTTATTGAAAGTAGATTTTTTTCTCATACAATATATTCTGATTATAGTTTCTCTTCATCCTTTGTCTCCCAGTTTCTTTTCCTGCCTGTCCCTCCATTCCAGATCCATTTCCTTTCTGTCTCATTATAAAATAACAGGCTTCTAAGAGATAATCACCAAATATGACAAAATATCATAAGACGAAGCAAAACTATCATATCAAAGTTGGACACAACAACCCAACAGGAAGAAAGGAGTATAAAGAGGAGGCACAAACTTCAGAGACCCACTTGTTTTCAGCCAGGAGTCCCATATAAAATACTAAGTTAAAAGATGTGATATATACACAGAGGACCTGGTGCAGTCCCACATAGGCCTGTGCTTGCCTCTTCACTTTAGGTGAGCTTGTATAGTCCTTATTTAGCTGATTCAAAAAGCCTTGTTCTCCCAATGTTCTCCACACCCCCTGGCTATTAAATCTCCATAAGATTTCCTGAGCTCTTGGGGGAGGGATTTGATGGAGAGTTCCCCCACAACCCCCGCCCGCATTTAACCTCTGGCTGTGGGTCTCTGTATCTGTTTCCATTTGCTGCCAGAGGAAGCCTTTCTGGTGAAGACTAGATAAGAAAGGCACTGATGCCTGAGTATAGTCAAATAGAATTAGGAGTCACTTTATTGATACTTTTTTTTAAACCAATAGTATTTGATTTTTACCTTAGTTCTCTGGGGTATCTAGTCTCTGGGTTTTGGTATCCATGTCTGGTATAGGTTCCTTCTTGTGGAGTGGGCTTTAGGTCAAAGCAGACACTGATTGGCTATCTTCTCAAGTTCTGTGCCACTACTGCCCTAGCATACTCTTTTCTTTTTTGGTAGCCTATAGAGTGTCTTCCTGTACCAAAAACACTAGAACTGAGTGGTAAAGTCTCTATATAGTCACCAGCTTCCCTTCTCCATGTTTGATGAATTGTGTGAATGTTGTCCCTGGTAAGGGGGCCTTGCTTTCAGTTTGCAGAGATCAGCTTTGTGACTTAGCCACAGCCAGGTTATTTGGGGCTTTCCACGGAACCCCACTGGCCAACAACAACTCAGTTGAATGCAATGCTGTCGCATCATTGGAGGCCCCTGCCCGGCAACAAGATATGACCAAATGAGACTCCAAATTCCCCATTACTAGAAATTCTCATCAGGATCACCTTTATAGATTCCAGGAAATTTCCTTGGCATCAAGTTTCCATATGCCCCGCCCCCAATGACCCCTAATACCAGCAGCCTCTGCATCTGTGCCCACACTTTCTTCTTCTGTCTCATCTCTCCCCTTAACTGATTCTTCCTTCCCCACCCTACACTTTCCTTATAATCTTTTTTATTTATCCCTACTAGAGAGATCCATGCATCCCCATCTAACTTCATTTTACCTAACTTTCTGGGTCTATAGATGATAGCTTAGTTATAGCTTACTTAATGGATAATATACACTTATAAGTGAATACATACCATATTCGTTTTTTTTGGATTCAAGTTACCTTGCTTGGGATGATTTTTTTTCTAGTTCTATCCATTTACCTGCAAATTTAATGATGGTACTTTTTACTATATATATATATATATATA